AGGATGTCACGTCGTCGTTGCAACACTTCTCCGATTGTATGAATGAAGTTAAAATCTGGCTACTGAGCAATATCCTCATTCTAAATGATAAGAAGACTGAAATTGTAATCTTTGATACTCCCTCCTCTCGGGCTGAACTTATTGGTATTTTTGGGCCCTTTGCTGACTCCCTTTCTGACACTGTGGGGAACCTGGGTGTTGTCTTGGACAGTTCCTTCAAGCTGGACAAACATGTGTCCTCTGTAGTTAAATCTGATTTCTATCAATTACGTCTAATCTCTAAGGCTAAGCCCTACTTATAACGTAAGGACCTGGAGAAACTTATCCATGCCTTTGTTACATCAAGATTAGATTACTGTAATTCCCTTTACACTGGTCTCCATTCTGCCCTTGTTCACAAAGTGCAGCTCGTTCAAAATGCGGCTGCGCGTCTTTTAACTGGAACTGGCAGGTTTGAGTCTATTGCTCCAGTTCTTTCTGACCTCCACTGGCTCCCTATTAAATTTCGTATTGATTTTAAAATCTTGTTGCTCACTTTTAAAATCATAAATAACACCGCGCCCAGCTATCTTACAGATCTCCTCAGCTTTTATACCCCCGGGAGAGCGCTTAGATTAGCAGGCCAAATGCTCCTGGTGCGACCTAGATCTCGGCTCAAGACCAGAGGTGACCGCACATTCGCCGCTGTCGCACCCTACCTCTGGAATAACCTCCCTCTAGCTATTCGGGCGTCTGATTCAATTCAATCTTTTAAATCTCGATTAAAAACGTATTTGTTTAGCCTTGCTTTCCCCGGCTTCTAGAGCCCGCATTTTTGGTGTACTGTAAGTTGTCTTTTTTGCTTTATTAATATTTATAATGTTTTAACCTTCAGCCTTTCGGGTTGTGCCTACTATGCCTGGTGTATTATTGGTTAGCTATGTCACCTGCCTGTTAGTATATTTTATTTGTATTTTGTGTTTTGTATTTGTATTTATTATTGCTCTAATTGTGAAGCACTTTGGCATACCTCTAGTTTTTTAAATGTGGTATATAAATAAAATTGTATTGTATTGTATTTGAAATGGATTCCACAGACAAGTCTTTTTCAGACTTTTACTTTTGTTTCAAGAAAATACCATGTTAGAGAGATATTTGAACTGTCTGATATGAGAGAGATGACCTGCCAACTGAGCAAAACAACCACTTTAAGGGCTTCTGCTTGAAGACATGGTCTGCGTAGTATATTACTACTTTGTGGATTACGTGTCTGTTATCAACTTTCTTCTGAAAGTACCACTTTTTTTCTCTACTGTCTATAGGTTGTTCTTTGGAGAAACATTGATTCTATTCATTGATCACAAATTAATTACACATTTCATCTTACTGTCTGCATTTGGATTTTTTTGTAACTGGTGAATGTGATGAAGGTATGGGCAAAGCAAGTACAAATAATCTGCTCTCAGCCAAGACATCACAACAGATTACAAGCTGAGCAACACAACAGAACAAGGTCTTCAAGGCCAA